CTAACTTAAGGTCATTACCCCTTAACATTGGGTTCTCGCTGGGAGGTAGTAGTGGTCTCCCTTCTTCCCCAATGTCATCCGAACCCTTTAGGAGTTTGAATGCCTCAATCAGGTCTCCCCTTCTTCTTCTTCTCTCCAACGAGAACAGCCCAAGCCTCTCCAGCCTGTCCTCATATCTATTCCGTATTCCTGGGAACCATCTGGTGAAGTGCCGCCGTGTCTTCTTGAGTACTTTTATATCCCCAGCTAGATATGAGCTTCAGGCCTGGACACATGTACTCCAGATGAGGGTATATGGGCTCCAGGCCTGGACACAGTACTCCAGATGAGGGCGCACAAAAGCCTTGTACAAGGGTAGTACAAGGGTAGTACTTGTTAGTTACGCGAGAGTTTGAATGTTTTAGGTGTTCAATAACATGTGATTTATTTACGTTGAGTAATGAAAAAACCTAAGTCTTTTCACAAATTAGGCGAACCATTGTATTAATGTAGGTTAGCCTTCTCTGAATTTCGAGAATTTTCTTCTCTAAAGGGCGTGTAATTTTCTTAGTGCTTTCCCCGTTTTGTTTGTGGTTTTAGCGTTGTACTACCCTTGTTTTGCAATTTTTCATTTTTTATGGCCGGTTCGATCCTAAAACATGCGGTATGTATGCCTGCGAGACAGAGTGTGGCCCGGTAGTAGGGTATTACTGCCCCTAAGCTAAGAGTACTGCCAGTGGAAGGCTTCGTCACGCTGTTATATCCGATTAGGGTGGCGACTGTTGGGATTGATATCTATTTACAGGGAGCCGGAAATCATTGTGGTGGAGGATTCTGAATTAACATCACCTCTCGAAGGCTCCTGGGAAAAGCACGTGATTCCTCATAATGGGTGATTTGAATTTTCCAGAAATAGATTGGAACAACGAAATGCCCCGAGAGGCAGTGCTGGTAAAGAACTCCTGACTACGTTTCACCAATATCCGTTATTGCAGTATGTCAAGCAACCAACACGATTGCCTGGAAGACATCGTCCATCAATATTAAATTTATTTATAACTAGGGACCGAGATATATTTTCTTCAGTGACGGAGGAACCGTTGCTAGAGTTTTCTTGAAGTACAATGGCTAACCATTATTGCAAGATACAACACGCCAATGGTGAAGCTGATCTCAACGGGGGGAAGCAAGGAGAACTGCTGCCTGCATTTGCAGTGACCATGATTGTAAGAAGAGGAGCAATCCACGAGGAAGTTTTCCGTTCATATTTTCTTTACAATCAAAACTGACTCCAACTGTAATATTTCTTTGTTTTACTTCTACTTATTTTACTGAGCACGGTTTTCCGCTCAGGTGTATATATAAGCTGGGTCCTG